CAGGCATATTTTATTCTCGCTCATTAATCAATCATTTACTGGACTCAGAGAAGGTAAGAAACTTGCCCAAAGTCCTGGAGTGGGAGCTCCAGGACTTGAGTCCAAGTCTGACTCAAAGCCCAACCCTTGAAGGTTATAAAGATAAATCAGACACTTTCTGTATTCATGGAGTTCCCTGTCTAGTGGTAGAGACAAATGGAGAGAAAGTAACTATCAAGTAAAAATGAAATGTGCTGAATAGAGATAAAAATGGATCAATGCAGCAGAATGTTATGGGAGAAAGTCCTGGATTCACATCCCAGCTCCCCACCTGTGATCTTGGGCAGGACCTTTTCCCTCTCTGTGCCTCACTCCCGCAGGGGGCGGGGGAGGAGGCGGAGGCGGCCGCGGCTCCGCCCTCTCCCCGCTCTCGACCCCTCCCTGCGGGCTTTCTCGCGAGATGACGACCATCCGGGGGACGGGATTCGCTCGATCCGGTCCCACCGAGGAAAAGCCGCCTTCATCCTAGAAAAGCAGGTTCAGGCCCCTGCAACCAAATCCTCCATCCTGCAAGGATAAACGAGGAAGCTGAGATCTGAAGTTTCTCGCTCACGAGTTCCATCCCAAAGGAAACAAGAGGGTTGTGCGCCGTCATCTTTAGTTGGGGCACGGCAGGCCCGACAGCCCATTTTAACTATGGGCCTCCTTCATCAAAATGAAAGGGGGGCAACTTCACTTTCCCTTCTCCAACATGGCCTCGAGGGCAGGAAGGAGAAATAGGAGGTTCGCGCCGGGCCACGCCCACTCCGTGGGGCAGGCCAATCACCGAGGGCAGCTCCGCTCGCGCACGCGCGCTGCGCCGGGCTCCCGAGGGATCGCGGAGGCGATTCTGACCCGGGTTGCCATGCCTCCCCTCCTAGTGGGCGGCGGGCGGGCCGAGGGCCGACCCGGGGCGGGCCGTCGCAGAGCCTCCGCCTCCTCGGCCTTCTCCGGGCCCAGGCCCCAGGGTGATTCCCCAGCGGGACAGGCTGAGCGGCGGCAGGGAGAGCATCCGAGGGGAGCGTAGGACGCGAGGCCCTGAGGCCGGGAGAGTGACAGGCTGCCCTTCGTCGTCAGCCGGGGACGAGTACGCTGCTACCCTCGCGCCCGCCCGGCCACGATCCCTCGTCCGCAGAGATGTCAGCCGCCGGCGTACGGGGCCTGAGGGCCACCTACCACCGGGTCCTCGATAGAGTGGAGCTCATGCTGCCTGAGAAATTGAGGCCGCTGTACAACCACCCGGCAGGTAATGGCTCCCGCCGAGACCTTGCCTCTGGGGCCCGCGGACACCTCCGTCGCCGGAGGTGTCACCTACACCCTCGAGTGAACGCGTCTACTTTCTCGCCTTTCCCTGCTGTTCCCTTTGCCTCGTCCACCATCTTTCACCAGCCTTGACGACCTGTGTCGCACCCCCTCCCTTAGGCGCGACTCCAACCCGGTCGGGCTTCTGGGCTGGGGCCTGCCTGACCCATTCCCACGGGCCCCGAGCGCCGTGGCTCCGGAGGGTTTGGCGGGAAAGGTCACACCGCCTCCTCGTCCAGCTGGCAGAGCCGAGCTTCGGAGCCTGTCATTCCCCGGCCCGTGGGTCTAGCTTAGGTCCGTCCTTCGTGAAATGACTGGGTGAGCCACCCCTGCACCGTTTTGCGTGGACACACCTGGATTGCATCCAGATGTGCCCCTTACTGCAGGCGTGACCTTGGGCGAAACCCTAGATCTTGTCGTCTTTGTAAAATGGTCAAGGTGAGAGTTAAATATAACATGCATGTTTGTTCATTCGTGCTCAGTAAATGTTTGCGCGCTCTCTTGTCCTGTTGGAACACAGTGTTCTTGTGGTTGAAAAAATACATATATTTCCTTAGGAAACGGGAAGATCCCAGGCCCTCCCACTCTGTATTTATGATCCGGAATTCTCTACCCAATGGGCAGCAATAACAGTTATCTGGGAACGAAAAGCAGATCTCTTTCAAGCCTAAGAATTTGCAAAGGAGAAAAATCTGCTATAAACTGAAATATTGAAGTGCAACCCTCAAAGGAGCCCTTTTAGCTGACTCCTCTCTAGGAGCGTTGACTGTCCCCCCTTATCCCTGCCCCCCGCC